TTCAACTTTTTTCAATTCAAGTGAGTTGATCAAGTCAGTTGAATGGCATGGTTTACACGTTCAATTCGCGTTCAAGTCAGTTGAATTTAACTGACTTGATCAATTGACTTGCCCTGTCTAAACCCAGCTTTAGATTAGATTTATAATTCGATTGTTTTCATTTCCATATTGAATAGCCATGAACAGCCATGGATACAAAAATCGTTTGTTGATAGAGGAAACTTACTCCACCACGAAATAGACAATCTTCGGTTTCCACGCGTTACCAATGTGCGTACCACCTCAGATAGCGATGACTATCTTTCCACCTCGTGTGTCAGATCAGATCAGTAAATGACGTGCGATAGAAATATTTATATCATCGTTTTGGATGATTGCGTTTGGGGCTGAACCAATAACATATGTATTTCAATTTAGGATGGCAATCATTTTCCAGAGAGCATTGTAGTAATATTTCATTTGAGAACCACTGTCGATCCATATCAATCCACACCAAACATCAAACAAGCAGTCATAAATGCATAGTAACCAAAAATAGAAAATTATTCAATTGTAACCATATGTGACACTGCAATACCACACACCGATAAGCGCTATTTTCCTTCTCCTATTTTCACCTCGCGTGTGGCCGTACCGACGAGCAGTCGAACGGGTAGCGTCAAATTGCCCAACTCAGTAGATCCAATACTCCACCAAAATTCTGACACAGCAGTCAAGAATCTTCTGAACTAAAAGATCTGAACTAAAAGAAAGCCTTCTCCAACGGAAGTATACGGCGCCCAACACAGCATTACGTATGTCAACTGAGATTCGTTTACTTCTCTTATCAATGTTCATCCTGTATTCGAGAGGAGCACCATCTGATTACAATACAACCGTCATCCCGTTGCAGCTATCATTCGAAGAAGCGATTTCGATGTTTCGATTTTAATGGTCTGAGGTTTCAGTCGAACAGAGGATGATGTTTTGGTACAGTGTAGTGGTTCACATCGATCGTTGTGTGTAATGGTGAACAAGGTAAATAGTTCAAGTAGGTGAGTAGAATTATAGAGTTGGCAAGTATAGTGTTTAAAAATTTTGTTCTTGTAATTTAACCGAATTCACGTAATAATTATTTTTCTTCTCATTTCAGGTTCTAGGTTTAACAGCATCATCAAAACGCCTTGCAGAACGATCTGACTGAATCTTCTTCCTCGCTTATAGCTGATTCGGTTCCATCGATTGTAGGTAGACCTCGGTCTCCCTTGACTGTACTGACTTGAACAACCCGTACGTGTCCATCTTCACCTGGCGATACAGCGGCTATACCGCTCAAATTCCATACCGCGGTTGAGCAGATTCATGGGTTACTCGGTGTTCTCACAGTAGGAAGTAGCCCGGAGTGTGACTGGTGAGGTTTTGCGTATGACTGGACATAGGTGACAGTGGTCGAGAATTTAGGACGCACTCGATTTGAGCAATTGCTGTAGTCAACTCGTTCAACGTGATTGATCTGCTTCCCAGGACTCTACGAAGGTGATGTTTGAAAGTTTTAACACCTGCCTCCCACAGGCATGCTTGGCATGCACAGCTGTACACACCAACTGCTCATTTGGTAATAACTTTTCACTCAGATGTTGAAATTTATTTTTCTTTAAAGTAATTGATAGATTAGTTTCATAGTTTACAATAGATATGCGAAGATTAGGTAAAGCTTAATATTTGAATCAAAACTATCAATTTAACTCCTAAATTCCGAGATGTGTAGTGAGCATTTCTCACCTCATTTTTACAACGCAAAAACAAATACAGTTTACTACTAGCATTAAAATCTACTTTTTTACATATCTATAACAAGCTTGCACTCTATTCTATCTACTGCTTCAAACAGAACTATTTACCGTCAACTGTGTGCAAAGTTATTAGCAAATGAGCAGTTCGTGACCAAAACTGTGTATGCCAAGAATGCCCACAGGCCTCCATTGTGAGGAGATCGAGGTGACATGAAGTGAAAGTTGATACAGCTCTTCAGGCAGTATCCGTTCCACCATTCCGTAGCGAACTGCTGAATGTACTGCCGACGCAGCTGATTCAGCCCCCGATCTGCGCCGACGAAGCCTGTTGAGTTGTCGCAGTAGAGGTTCACGACCCAACCGCGACGCGTGAAGAACCGTTTTACCGCATTGATACACGCGACGGACGTTAGATCAGTCATGACTTTGAGGTGTACCGCCTTCACCACCATACAAACGAACACGGCGACGAATAGCTCTACGTTTGCTCCTCTCCCAACTAACGGACGTACACTGCCCACTGCCCGCAGCAGTCCATGTCACTATTCTAAAACACTCGAGGAGCAGCCAATACCCACGTCAGCGTTGACGAAGGGGTTCGTCCATCAAATGACAAGGTGTAATGCATGTCATGTTGCTTTTCCACCGATATCTATACTTGGCGACTTCACATCGACGCTGCTTCAGTCCGTCAATTTTGATCAGATGCCAATTTGACGCTAACGCAGTACTGTCGGTTCCGCTTAATTCGTACAGAAAGCAGAGGTGCCATGACCTTCTTTGTTGATTTTGAGGAACAGCGAAAGCAGGCACTGTTGAATTAATCTGTGCACAAGATCTCACCCGCAAAGTGGCCAGAACCTTCGTCTGTTTGTCTAAAGTAGCAGCGTTCTGAGTTGGAGAGAGCGAACGATCAACCAGGACAGATGATGATCAGCCGGAAGCAAGATGAGTGTACGAGTTTCAAGAGCGGTTGACCGCTTGGCCAAGCGACCTTCTACCAGTAGTAAACCAAAATCATCCAAAAACGGGTTGAGAGACTTGAACAACGATTGTAGCTTTCTGTTCTTCCTTGTGAGCTTTCGTGGAGACTTTGCGGTGAGGTAGTGCAGCTCTTCCGGAAATTGCGTGGCTTTGACGGAGCGAATGAGTGACTTCATGGTGTATTCCACCAGAACCGGAAGTACTATCCGACTACTCGAAGTAGCTTTCCCAGGTCGGAGAACCGGTTTATGATCGAGTGATTAACTGGTGTTGTTGCGAAGGCGACAACCTGACGAACTTCCACATATCGAGCTTCCTGATCCGCACGAGCGAGAGTGACTTCACCAGAAATTCCGGCCCATGCCACCATAACGGATCATCGGTTATCTGGGACGGCAGAATACCACCAGATATGTGGCCAGCGGATTTGTGCTTCAAAGAACATGTCGCCAGCAATCGTTGTTGGTTAGCTTTTCGATTTCAGTGCCGATGCTGGAGTCGGACCAGAAGATTGTTGTTGCCGAGAAGTTTGTGGTTTTTTTTTAACTTGTTCCAGCGTCTAGTCCATGTAGATGTGCAAAGCGGGACTTAGCGAAGAGTAGTTGGCATTGGTAGGACTCTTAACCATTCGGCGAAACTACATACATACATACACACACGAGCCATATCCGTGGTCGGAAACATCACAGAAGCAACGGAGAGCGGACTGGTTGTTCGTGTTTGCCGTGAAAAAACTTCCGAGAGAAGCACAATTTAACTTCCGGGTCACCCGATTCCCGAAAATACCCCAGGAGAGTCATCAGCTATTTCGCGATTTGCGAGTGAAATAAAAATGTCCGGAAAATGCATATACTACGGCCAATAATCCAGGACGCTTTCTATTTGGTTTACCACGACCTTCTTTGTTGATTTTGAGGAACAGCGAAAGCAGGCACTGATGAATTAATCTGTGCAAAAGATCTTACCCGCAAAGTGGCCAGAACCTTCGTCTGTTGGTCTAAAGTAGCAGCGTTCTGAGTTGGAGAGAGCGAACGATCAACCAGGACAGATGATGATCAGCCGGAAGCAAGATGAGTGTACGAGTGTCAAGAGTGGCTGACAGCTTGGCCAAGCGACCTTCTACCCGTAGTAAACCAAAATCATCAAAAAACGGGTTGAGGGACTTGAACGACGATTGTAGCTTCCTGGTGCGGTGAGGTAGTGCAGCTCTTCTGGAAATTGCGTGGCTTTGACGGAGCGAATGAGTGACTTCAGGGTGTAATCCACCTTCAAAAGCTGCAAAGGACCACCGATTCGACCATGCCTTGAACTCGAGGCGTTTTTGCAGAACCGGAAGCACTATCCGACTACTCGAAGTAGCTTTACCAGGTCGGAGAACCTGTTTATGATCGAGTGATTAACTGGTGTTGTTGCGAAGGCGACAACCTGACGAACATCTCAAGCTTCTTGATCTGCACGAGCGATAGCTACTTCTAGAGAAATTCCGGCCCATGCCACCATAACGGATCATTGGTTATCTGGGATGGCAGAATACCACGAGATATGTGGCCAGCAGAATTCTTCTTCAAAGGAACATGTCGCCAGCAATCGTTGTTGGTTAGCTCTTCGATTTCAGTGCAAAACGATGCTGGAGTCGAACCAGAAGATTGTTGTTGCCGAGAAGTTTACGGTTTTTCTAACTTGTTCCAGCATCTAGTCCATGTAGATGTGCAAAGCGGTACTTAGCGAAGAGTAGTTGACATTGGTAGGACTCTTAACCATTCGGCGAAACTACATACATACATACACACACGAGCCATATCCGTGGTGGGAAACATCACAGAAGCAACGGAGAGGAGCAACTGGTTGTTCGTGTTTGCCGTGAAAAAACTTCCGAGAGAAGTACAATTTAACTTCCGGTCACCCGATTCCTGGAAATACCCCAGGAGAGTCATCAGCTATATCACGATTTTCGAGTGAAATAAAAATGTCCGGAAAATGCAAATACTACGGCCATTAATCCAGGACGATAAAGGGGTCAATAAACTTAAAAACTGAAATCCGGTAAAGCGGATGAAGAAGAGATCAATATCAGAGAGGTTTGCAGCTAGAAATCATGTGTCGCATTCTTTCCGCAATGTTGATGCTCTCATAAGTATATAGATTTTCAAAAAAAAATTGAAAACAGCCTGGGACCTTAAACCAGACCGGCCTTGAACGCATAAACCGGTTCAACATGTTGTTGATATTCGAATAGGTACTTACGTCGTAAATTTCCTTCGCACATGCTTTGGGTTTTTCTAGAATTATTCCTCGCTGAACGCGTTCCACCACTTCGGTATTCTTTAGGCGACCGTAGGGCATCTTTCCACACGTGAACACCTCCCACATCAGGACACCTAAAATTCCCCCAAAAGGCACTTTAATACCAGCACAACTCCAACAAACCAAAGCCAGCAGCTTAACTTACCGTAGGCCCAAACATCGCTCTTGGACGAAAATCGGGTGTAGTTGAGCACCTCCGGCGGGGCCCACTTGATCGGGAACTTGGTACCACCGGAGCTGGTGTACTGATCGTCCAGGACGTACCGGGCCAGCCCGAAATCAGCCACTTTGACGGTGTTTTCTGACCCGACCAGGCAGTTGCGCGCCGCCAGATCCCGGTGGATGTAGTTGTGGCGTTCGAGATAGGACATTCCTTTGCAAACCTGTTTTCAGATCGAATATCGAATGATTGTAGGGATTTGATTCAAGTAAGTAGGAGCTAGGTTCAGTACCTGTATGCACATGTCGAGCAGGAGACCCATATTGCCAATCAACGATTGCTCGTGCCTTCGCAGATAGTTGAGTAGGGAACCGTGCTTCATGTACTCGGTGATGATGTAGATCGGTCGATGCTTGGAGCAAACGCCGTACAGTTGTACCAGATTGGGATGTTGGAGTTTTCTGAATTAGTGAAATGTGAAAATCCGCGTTAGGTAACCGGTGTAAGAAAGCTTGAGAAAAACTCACGTCATAACTTTCGCTTCCTCGATGAAATCGTCCTCGGACATGGTGCCAACCTTCATCATCTTGACGGCCGTGTCGATCGATCCGCGCCATTTGGCTCGTCGGACTACGCCAAACTGGCCGGAGCCCAGCTCCTCCAGGATCATCAGCTCCGAGGGATGGATCTCCCATTTGTCTGTGGATCGAATGGAAATTAGTGGCAAACTGCATTCTGCAAGGAATGGCCATCGACATACCATGAGATAAACCGGCAGTCGGCGGCACCGGCCGATCGCAGGGAGAGGTTTTCAGTCTGCACGCTAGGCCACCGGAGTTGTGTCGATGGTAGTTGATCAAATCCTGAATCGATTCACAGCAATGCTTCTCGGAGAGGTAAAACTCCATGCGAGCGTTTTGTTTGATGTGGTAGTGCTTTACATGGGATTGGGGTCTGTCAGGAGGGAGAAGAATGATAAAATTTGGTATTAACCGAATGCAATGATTCTCGATCGTGCGTCAACTTACACTTTGGTATGTAGCGAAAGGGTATACAGGCCCTTGGTGGATGATTTCCTCACCACGAAGCAACCTTCTTTGTCGTTCTGTTTGAGCAGCGATTCGGCCCGCTGGCGGGACATGTCCCCCACGTACCACTCGTACTTTTGCAGTCCCAGCAATTCCTTCTCCTTGACGTAGTTGCTGGGGATGTATCCGATCGTGCCATGCTGGTCTTTGACCTTCCACCAGTGTTCCTGGGAGTCATCGATCACCTCGTATTCGGCGTTCTAAAACGAAAAGAGAAGAAAAAATCGATCCGGAAATAGTAACCCAAAACAAATCATCAATGGAAGCGATAAAAACCTACCTTCTCAAGCGACAAATCGCCACTCTCTATCGCCTTAAAGGGGTACAGTGCTACCACAATCTTGACCCGTGGCGAGACATCCTACATGGGTCACAAGAAGGGCAAAAAGAGACAAATGAGAGAATAATTAATTAACCGAAAATTTAATCGCATTCAATTAAACCCATCTGCACGAAACAAAGCCCCAAACGACTGTCATTTCCGGTGTTGGCACTCTTCTTGCGTATCATCGACGATCAAACCGCACATCGCAGTGGCGGAAACCGAAAGTGACGATTAAGCCCGTTGAGTTATATGCTATGTATATTCGCGAAACACAAAAAAGTGCACTCGTCCTGACCGCCGCTGAAGTCTTGCATTGCCATGGGAAAAAGAACACCAGGATCGGCGTTAAATTTGAATGCAAATTAAATTCGTCACCGACTGATGGCATCGAGATTCGCGATTCGAGTAAGAAGAACAGATGGACGTGTGAAGTTAAGTTGCTGCCGCGACCGGGACTGATAGACATGGGAAATTTGTCCGCCGCGGGGGGGGGGGGGGGTATTTCTTTGTCGACGGACATTTACCTTAGCCTTTGAGTTTGGTGTTCCGGGCGCTGCTGTCGGACCACCAGGCATATTTAGCTCGCCTCCGTTCGTATGATGACCTGCACCGTTGATGGACGCCGTTTTGAAAGAGTGGGTGGGTGACTACAATGGGGAAGACAAAAAAAAAGATAAGAAAGGTTGTTAGGAACTTGCATAAAGACATGTGCGGTTAAGTGCAATTCACGGGTCGTTGCGTGAAGGGAATTAGTTCAAATTATGAATACTTGATGGATTGAAACAATGGAATTACTGAGGCTGTCAGGAAGTAAATTTTCTGGTTGTTCAAAGTTTGTGAACATTGACTGAACATCAGTGAAGATCACATTAGAACTCTGAGACCCTTTGTAGTAGAATCTAAGCGATCGAATCTGCCTTTAGTGGTGAATATGAGAACGTCAAAAATAATTCTGGATTTCTTTTGTGTGAATATTTGAGGTACAAATCAGTTAACAAGAAATTGACAAGATGTTCAATGAAAACTGCTTAATTTGCGTTATGAAAAATCCTTATTCTGATGTAAACAAACGGTTTGGTTTACGTTGCCTCTTGAACTCGCCTGGCACCTTCTACATTGGTGGTGCATTGAAAAAGCTTATACAAGTTTAGGAACAAAATTGATGAAATTTATACAAATCTTAAGGAAATTAAACTGGTCTTCTGAAACTTACATGTCCCCAATTGGTGGACCGAAGTTGCGATAAATTCACGTAAGTTTATAAAACGTTGGGAGGTTTAGAAATCTTTAGAGAAGTTTAATTAATTTCAAGGCAATTCCAGAATCATCAGAACAGTACCGAGAATTTCGGGTGAGATTTGATATCTTCAATGTTATCCACACAAATTAAAGGAAGATGTCACGAGTAATGACAGTAAATAGGTACCGAGAATTTCGGGGAAGTTTCATGAATAAACTGCGGGATAATAAGGGAGCTTCTGCCAAATTTAAAGCATTTCAGGTAAGCTTCGAGAACTTCAAGGTAGTTCTATCAGCTTCGAAGAAACTGGGATATCCAGAAAACATAAGAAAAGTCAGGTCTAGTAAACTTCATAAAAGCTCAGAGATTTTTAGGACAAGCTCAATAACGTCTGGAAAGTCCAGACTTTCAGGGAAAATTAAAAATCTGTAAAGGATCTTCTTCTAGGCTTTTACACTTCTCTAGAGAGCGTTCCACAGTTATTAATTGAGAGCTTTCTATGCCAACACCAATGCATTCATTCGTATATTGAGTGGCAAGTACAATGATACTTCTTCCCAAGGCAGTCGAGAAAATTTCCAATCTACAAGATTTGCTCGATTGGACCGGGAATCGAATTGTGACTAAGCCTTTACTGACTAGGCTATCAGAGGCCTCAATCTGTATTCATTCAGAAGCTTAAGAAAATTTTTGAAAAACTTTCCGAAATTTCGGGAATTTCACAAAAGTCCAAAGAATTTCTGAAAAGTTTAGAAAACTTTAAACATAGTAGAGTAGAGGTCGACTGTAGAAGTTAAAATTATGTCTGATTACGACTTATCAGTCTGGTATTCTAATTTTGAACGACACGTTTGTTATTCATCCTAATGTTTCAGCACTTGTTGGTGCCTTCTTCAGTGGAAACATAAATATTTCAAACTGTTTTACCACCCTAAACTTATGATCAATACTTTAATTTTGAATTTGATATCATTTTCAGTAACTATGTACTATGGTGGGTATTTTACTTGATTTCCATTGGTTCTGTAGACTACCCTGACGTTATCAGTATTTTTTAAGAACCAGCAACTTTGCTGAAATTAATTGATTTTCTTTGATGTTTCGAAAATGTTCCTCAAGTATTATAACGATTATTAACAATCGCTTTTTTCCAAATTTTCTGATTTATATTCATAATTCCTTGACGTGTCTGACGTTTCAGGATCAATCAAAGAGTTCTTGGAATACCCTATAATTCTACGGAACGCCTTGTAAGTCGCTGCAAATTTGCTTGAGTAAATGGGATTATTCTGAAGCTATCTGATTATCCTCGAAGTACTCGGAACTTCGCTGAATATCATTAAACTATATAAAAATATCGAAATTTACTTCTCCGGAGTTTCTTGAACATATCGCTGCTTGCTAAAAGTTCTCGCTTTTTTTATTAATGGAACTTCGTTGATGTTCTCTTATCAACTTAGCTAAATTTTCGCAATTATTACGTTTTTGAAATCTCCATGATATAACACCCTTAAAATACTCTCACGTTTTCCGGATGTTCATAAAATTTCCAGGATTTCTCTCGGAGCTTTGCTGAAGTTTTCGGAAATCCACTGAGTTTCTCGAAACTTCTTTAAGGTTTCAAATAATTCCTTGAAATTATTTGATCTGCTTTTTGATTATCTGACCTGTTTTGATGTTCTCGAAGCTTCCATAAAGCTCTTAGTTCTATTGAAGATCTCGGTTCTGCTCGAAAATAAATAAAATTCTCGTAAACACCTTTAAATTTCCCAAAAATTCTCTGGACTTCTTTGAAGTTTCTGAAATATTTTTGAAGTTTTCATAAATTCTCTGAAGGTCTGTGTACTTCCCTGAAATTCGCGGAACATCTTAAGGGTTCTCGATTTGTTTTTCAGCACATCATGGAACTATCTTGAGTTTATCTAAATTTACGATTATAGATTTTTAATCTATCTAGCTTTTCTGAAGTGCTTAGAACTTCTTAAAAATTTGCACAAGTTATCTAAATTTCTCAAGTTGACATCTGTGACGTTCTCTGAAATTCGAGGAACTTCATAAAAGTTCCTGAAAAGTCTCGGATGCTAAAAGAACCGCTTTGAGGTTCTTACAGCTTCCAGTAAGTTTCCCATATTTTCAGCGTGTTACCTACCCTTATGTTCCTGCAGTTTGTTTATAGAGCTACACTGCAATTCTCAGCATTTCAGTTCATTCATGGGGGGAATACCCCTCACCATCCCTCTCCAACGGGGGAGTTTGGTAAAGAGAGATGATCAAACCGATTTGTATCTTCCTAAAGTTGTCCTTGCTCGCTTTCTACTCTCTATATGCAATTCTCACACTGCCGTACTCTAACGGAACTATCAACTCTATACTTTCATCTCCTCATCTATCGTATAAAAATTACCACTTTAGTCTGTTATTTGAAATTAGCATCTTCAATTATGTAAATCATTGACTTCACGCAGAAGTAATACAAAGTATAGTCACAGTACTCCTTCTTGATAACGATTCAACCTACGATATCATGATAGAATTTTTTTATCTCAAATCTTATAAAACATCACATTTTCTTTTAAATTATCAAGTTAAACCATTAAAAAATAACAAAAATTATCATATAAATATTCTTGTAAAATATTAGAACGTTAATGTTTATACAATTCTTTTGAAACTTTTTGCACAGCAATCGATTTTAAAAGTAACAAAAATTCGCAAAATTTCACAAAAAATTAAAGATTTAATTAAGATCAAATTTGGGTTTTCAAAGGTTGTTGTTCGATAATTTTTATTAATTTTTAAGTGTCCAACTCGAAAATTTCACAAATTTTATTTTTTAAAGCTTTTTAATAAAAAAAATATTGAAAAATATTGAAGATGGTCATTTTTAGTAATTTATGTTTTAAACACTTTTTTTTGATGATTAACGCAAAATTACTAGAAATTTTTGATCAAGAATATTAAAAAAATATCAATTTTCTACAACTTTGTCACAGACGTCATTTCAATTGGAAGTTACGTTTCCGAGATATAAATTGTTGAAAAATATCAAATAGGGTAGGTGAGCCAGTTTTGGTACTAGTTAGTAAGCATATAAAGTTTTCACACATTATAAAATAGAAACCCCCATGTTGTGTACCAACTGAAACCATTGAGTTGAAGTTTCAAGTATTCTGAACAATAAAATATGAGGAATAGATAAATTTGCATAACATTAATCTAAAATATTGATTTTAAATTTGTAGTTCCTGCACCAATAGTTGTTCCTTTATTGACCGTAGGTATGCCCAAGTTTTTGGGCTTAGTAATTTTTCAACGGATCACTTTCCATTCCTAATAAGTGTTATGAAATCACGCTGTTTTTGAAACAATGTATTTTTCTAAAATGAGTTTCAGTTGAGATCATTCTCAGGTGGACCACTCAAAACCCATATTCTTCTTTCCTATATTTAACGTCGGTCTCTGTTCCGCAATCTAGTGCCAATCACCGACGAACATCGATTAGCATCCATTGACGGCAATCGAATGTGCAGGAAGGATATCGCACCGATTCAAACACACATGGGCCGCGACCAACGGCTTTACTTCCATTCCGAAGGAAGACGTGACCAGAGATTTTTATACCTCAGATTGGGATTGAACGCAGACCCATTGGGATGAGAAAGCAGTCACGCTTACCACTACATCACTGGCGCCGGCTTTCTCAAAACCCATATGGAAGGAAGATATTCCCGGAGTTTGGGAAGTCAATGAATATAATATAAGGGCGTATCCATGTCACACGATATAAGGGCGCATCCATGTCACACGAAAATGATGAAAAATCACCCCCTCATCCTTTATTCTTATGTATGGCTTATAACTTAATTCTAAACTACCTGTTTCCTCTTAGAGCGGTACATACTTAATTCGTGGTCCCTAAGTACTACAAACGCAAAAGATGCAAAGTCCAAGTCTCTTCTGGATTTTGGATGGTCAGGATGGTATAAATAAGCAGTACATTAATATCAATCACTGCACACATACACACATTTTAAATGTAGGGGAAGACGGGGTAAGACCGCCACCCGTAATACATTTAATAGCTTAAAATTTTCTGATTTATCACATTATTTATGCTTTTTCATAAATTTTTGGAATGATCCAAAAATACTCGTTTTTTTACAAGCAGGGTAAGACGGACCATGACGGATTTTTCGACAGTCCGCATCGTGCTCTCTTGCCGTGCGGATCTATTTGCTTTTTGCTGAAGGAAGTGTTACTACTACCTAAAGCTACAACAAATTTTAACAGCACTTTTCAGTGCTCAACCTGTAAAAATTTTTTCTACCTTGTTCAACTCTTATTCCTCTTCGATCCTTGTTTGGACCCTACCCGAGGTAATCCTTCTTGGATATCGATTTGGAAAAT